GGGACCCCGTCTACGGCGCCTACTGGTACGACCTGCGCGCCCGCCTTGTTCCTTCCTCTCTCCCTCTCCCTTCCACCACATCCTCCCCCACCCCGTCCCCTGCCCTCGACGACTGGACAACCCACTACACCCCTGCCCCCCGTCACGACACGACGACCTGCACCCCCGGCCAAATCTGGGAATACCAAGTCCGCTCCCGCGCCGGCGACACCCTCCGCTCCGCCTGGGCCGACATTGTCTCGGCCGTCGCAGACCCGCACCACGCCCCGCCGCCCACCAACATCGCCGTCCGCTCTGCCGTCGGGTCGGCCGGCTTCTCCATCTCCTGGACCCCCGTGCCCGAGGATGAGGAGTACGGGCCCGTGGACCGGTACGGCGTCGTCACCTTTGACCGGGACGTCCCTGGTTCCTGGCCAGGCGTGGTCGGGTTGCGAGGCGGGGGCGGGTGGGTTGGCGGGTTGGTCGAGGGGCATCGGTATGGCGTTGGGGTGCAGACTTGGACGGGGCTAGCGGGCGGCGGGGAGGTTCGCTGGGCCAGGGCTATTGCTGTTGGGATGGGGACGCCGACACCGCCTGGCCGGGTGCAGGTGCGGGTGTTGGCGAGGGGGAGTGTGGAGGTGAAGTGGTGCGGCGATGGGAGGGCGGCTGGGTATAAGGTTTGGGTCAGGGGGTGTGGTGGGAAGAGGGAGGTTGGTGATGAGCAGGTGGAGGGGAGGGAGGGGAAGAGGGTGGTGGCGGGGTTAGAGCCGTCGGTTTGGGATTTCGAGTATGCTGTCAGTGCATATAACGGGGACGACGAGTCGGGCTTGTCGCAATGGATAGTCGCGCCCCCGTCGTTAATCGAGGGTGATTCCATCTGCATCAGTTTTGGATATGCGCAAGGGGGGGCTCGGGTCGGGACGTCGTCTCCATCATGATTCTTTACATTTTTTGTTTGGAATTTGGTTGACATTTATCTTGATTTATTTTGGATATCTTGTGCTTAAGCAGCGTGTTTTTGGTACACCCTTCCCGTCTGCTCAATTTCGTATTCCACGTCCTTGCCCCGTCCCTTGGACTCGAGCTCCCGGACCAGCGGGAGCACCTCCTTGCCAAACTGCTCAATATCATCCTCGTAGTGCAGGAAAGCCGTCAGCACGAGATTGACACCCAGGCTCTTGAGCAGCACGATGCGCTCGGCAACCTGCTCCTTGGTACCGATCAGCTTGGTCTTGAAGCCGTCGTTGTACTGGACCAGGTCGTTGAAGGTGCTCGTCGCCCACATGCCCTGCTTGTTGTTGGTGCTGGCACCCGCCGTCTGCACGGCGGCCTTGAAGGCCTCGACGGCCTCGGCATCGGCCTTGCCCTGGATCTCCTGCAGCACGCGCATCGCCTCCTCCTCGGTCTCGCGCACAATGACGAAACCGTTGACGGCGAACTTGACGTGCTGCTCGCGGCCCACCTTGGCGGCGCGCGCCTTGACGTCGAGGATCTGCGTGCGGAAGCCCTCGAGGTCGTTGCCGTTCATAAAGTACCAGTCGGCCACCTCGGCGCCGTTGGTGCGCGCGTCGTCGCTGTTGCCACCCTGGAAGATGGGCGGGTGCGGTTTCTGGACCGGCTTGGGGCTCAGGCGGTAGTTGCGGAAGCGGTAGAAGTCGCCGGCAAAGGTGAAGCCCTCGTCGTCGCCGGCCGTCCAGATGCCGCGCAGGCAGCGCATGAACTCGTTGGACCGGCGGTACCGCTCCGCGTGGTCGAGCCACCACTCGCCAATGGCCGTGAACTCGCCCTTGAACCAGCCGCTGACGATGTTGACGGCGATGCGGCCCTCGGAGTAGTGGTCGATGCTGGCGAGCTGCTTGGCCGCCACGGCCGGGTTCCAGGGCCCCGGGAGGATGGCGGCGATCAGCTTGAGCTTCTCGGTGCCCTGGAGGAGGGCCTGCGAGAAGGAAACGGACTCGTGCTGGTTGGCCGCGCCGTACGACGCCGTGAAGCGGATCTGGGTGAGGGCGTACTCGAAGCCGACCCGCTCGGCCGTCTGGGCGTAGCGCAGGTTCGACTTGAGGTCCCAGCTGGTTTTTTGTGGGATCTTGCTGATGACGAGACCGCCCGAGACGTTGGGGACCCAGTAGCTGGACGGGATGGTATCACGTCAGTATTCCTAGGCTGTCTTTTTTTTTCGGGTTAGGGGCTGGGAGGCACGTACGCGAACAAGAGCCGGTCTGGGTCGCTGTTGAGCTGTGCTGCATCGGCCATGATTTCTGCGGCGAGAGTCGTGCGGACTGGGATTTGGTCTGTCATGGAAGGCAGCAAACAACTTCTGGAGGTATGTTCTCAAGTTTCTGCAGCTCGGCGGAAACTCGAGTATTTCTACTACTAGCTGCGTTTATTTCAGCAGAATCTTCCAACACCAGGTCATCCATCTCCGCTATCCCACTGAGGGTTTACAACATCGTGCCGTTTGTATACAGCCCGATCCGGCTACGATCGCGGCAACGTCAATGTCCTCATTGCTAGGCGTTATGATGCCATACTAAGTGTGGGTTTTGCCAACTACATCGGGCACCTTGGCGTGGGGAAATGGTAGGGCGAGACCAATTCTCGGTATGTTGGAGCGCACACCCTAGCTGTAGAGCGATTGCATCTCCAATCGATCCGCACACAGGCCATGTTCTTTGTTGCCGCGGATCCACACCCGTCAAGCTGGGGACATGGAGGCGAGGGGAGCTTTATGGAGGGGCACAGAGGAGCTCGAGGAGCCCATGAGCGGGGTTGACCACATCCCACCTCTCACATTGCCTAGCAGTCGTTCTTTTACAATGTTGAGCTCCCGTGACCTCTTGCTTGACACCACGGATGGGATCATCACTTCCGACGGTTGCGTGATTAAGCCTGTTTCATAGCACCCGCCAATGGTGTCGAGCAGCAGACGAAGACTAGACCATTTGTGCTGCTGTCGCACACGGGGAGCACGACGACATGCCCGCTGTTCGCCCTCCATCGCGGGGCACTTGACGATCTGTCTCATAAACACGCACCTGCAGCTGCCAAGCTCGCCGAAGCTCCCGACACGAGCGCCACACATGGCGTGAGCAGCGCAGGTCGGCGAGCTGGCGAGCATGTTCACTGGCGAAATCAACGAGTCCTAATACGCAATCCGTACTACTCTGAGTATGCCATTCCCTAATACTAAAGAGACGGCCATCCGCCACCCTTGGGACGAGGGGCATTTGTGTCGTCAGGCTCGCCGGTTCTTTCCATCTACCTTGATCTAGGTTAATATACCCTCACCCCGAGCCATACCTCACTTACACCCCGACATACCCCGCGAACACCCCCACCCGATTGGACACCATGGCCGACAAAATCCAGGTTCAGATTCACCCTAGCAGCGATCCGGCCGTATACCGGGAGTTTGAGGCAAAGTGGGCAGCGCTGCCCACCGACGCAGAGGGATGGATCCAGCGGGCACGCGACGTCGGAGCGGTCCTCGCCGCCGATGCCGCGGCGCGTGAGCAGGCCAACAAGTCTCCGAAGGCCGAGGTCGCGCTCCTCAAGCACTCGGGCTTGACCAAGGTGCTGGGGCTCGCAAAGTACGGAGGGGGCGGGCAGCCGTGGAGCGTTGGGTACAGGGCCATCCGCGAGGTCGCCAAGGCAGATGGGTATGATTCCCCCCCACACGCCATTATTTCGGCGAGATAATACGGGGTGTAGCTGACGGCGAGATGTCTTCAGGTCTATTGGCATGCTACTTGGCTACCATCTTCTCTGGTCGACCACGGCCAATGTTGTGGGGTCCGCGGAACAGGCCGACCGCTTCCAGAAGCTGATTCTCGAGAACAACTACTTCATCGGCGGCGCCGTCAACCCGCGCGACAACGACCTGAAGATTACGTACGACGACGAAAAGTTCACGTACAACGGCTTCAAGCACTTCAACACGGGCGGCGTCGTCTCCGACCTGACCGTGCTCGAGGGCGCCATCGAAGGACGGCCTGAGGAGCACATCTTTGCGTTCGTGCCGACCGCCCAGGCGGGCATCCAGTTCCTCCACAACTGGGATAACGTCGGCCTGCGCCTGACCGAGTCAGGCAGCGTCAAGATCGAGAACGTGTCGGCGCCCTGGGCTGACGCCCTCGGCTGGGACGCTGAGAAGAAGAAGCCCGACCTGGCCTGGCTAGGCATCAACTTTGGCTCCCTATTGCTCCCCACGTACGTCGCAACCCCCCTGGACCCCAACCTCCCACCAACTAACCCCCCCCCCGCAAAGCATCCAGCTCGTCTTCATCAACTTCTACCTCGGCATCGCCCAGGGCGCCCTCGACTTTGCCAAGGGCTACACGGTGAAGAACACGCGCGCCTGGCCCTTTGGCGGCGACGTACGCTCCCCCCCTCTTCCCCTTCTTCCCTTTCCTGTGATCTAACGCCCCGCGCAGAACAAAGACTCCCCTACGGATGAATTCTACATCCTCGCCACCTACGGCAACTTTTTCGCGCACCTGCGCGCCGCCGAGACGCTGGTCGACCGCGCGGGCTCCGAAGCCGACATCTTGTACAACAAGTACGGGTCCTCGGCCGACGGCAGCGCCCGTGCCGGCCTCACCGCCCGGGAGCGAGGTGAGTGGGCCGAGTGGGTGGCGAGTGCCAAGGTGGTGGCGACGGACACGGGGTTGAGGGTGACGGCGGGCGTGTTCGAGGTTACCGGGTCGCGGGCGACGGCGAGTAAGGTGGGGCTGGATCGGTTCTGGCGGGATTTGAGGGTGCATACGCTGCATGACCCGGTGGCGTACAAGAACAGGGAGGTTGGGAGGTTTTTGTTGTTGGATGAGGTGCCCGAGCCGACGTGGTATACGTAGGCGTGGATCATCGTGGATTATAGACTTGGAGGAGATATGTTGGTGTTATGTGCTGGTGTGCGAAAGTGTCCACGTTGCCAGGGATTTTAATACAAGGGAACAAAAGCCTTTCAGGTTGACGAACTTGACACTCGCTAAAAAAGGATCTTGCTGGATGTAAAAAGAAAACGACGTGGGCCGGATTTGAACCGACGCTCCCGAAAGAACAAGATTTCAAGTCTTGCGCATTAGACCACTCTGCCACCACGCCTGTTACTCTACTAGTCAGTCCTTTGATTTATTGCAAGAGCCACCGTCGTCCATCCCCTGGCAGTTTGTTTCGTCAGGTTTTGGGTGTTTGTGCCGCTCAACGGCGACCACATAAAAAACGGTGTTCTGGAACATAGCAAATAGACAAGACATTGGACCAGCGATTTGTCCAGGATTGTCTATCCAGCCGTAGCGGCCATGCATCAATGGCGTGGGTGCCCAACCCGGATTCCCTGTATCACTGACTATACTAGACCGCCAAACACCCACAATACCTAGTTGGACCCAGAGGGTTTCTCAACTTCAAACCGGACATGTCTCCCGTCTGTGTCGTTGCCCGAGTCTATCCCATCATGCGAGACATGCCGGGAAGGAGAGGAGGAGACTGCTAGTAGCATTTTCGATGGAGCTTCGAGCACGTCTGCCGAGTCGGGTTGCCCCGCGTGTCACCGCCGCCATCTCGGCGTGCTCCACGTCCTGCCAGTGGGGCGGCAGGCCGCCGGCGGGATGGACGGGAAAGTGATTGTCGCCTTTCGTGGCCCTGTCTTGAGACCAGTTCCCAAGTCTTTCTTTGCACGCGACATCATGATGGCCAGGCTCGGTCTTTTCGCCCTGTTGTTGGCGTGGGCCGTGAGGTCAGCCCTCGAAGGAGCTGCTACCTGCCCATCGTCACCGAGTGGCTGAGGACGTGCCATGAGACACATGCGGCATGTCGCAAAACCACCGTCGTGCCGCTACCGACCCGTGCTCTTGACGTCGGTGCTACCGGCTCCGGCTCCGGCTCCGGCTCCGACTCGGGGCCAGAGGGGTTCCTACACGGCGCTGAACTATTGCTAGGGTGGGCGGCATCGGAATACAGACAGTGAAGGAGAGCATCAAACGTTATGAAAAGGGGCTTCCTTATACCCGGCTCCCTCGGACGTTCCAGGATGCCGTCGCCATCACAAGAGACCTTGGGCTTCGATATCTCTGTATATATGCTCTGTGCATCATCCAAGACGCGAGGAGGATTGGGAAAAAGAGTTGGGGAACATGGCTGCCGTATATCAGAAGGCCTATCTTGTCATCGGCGTAGACAGGTCGCCCGACTCACACGGCGGCTTTCTGGATGTCGAAAAGGGCGGCTACCACGGCACAGGAAAGCTGATAGCCGTCATCGACAACGACGAGGCATTGGTATACGCCCGATTAGAGCATATCGGCAACAACAAAAACCTAGGCGCCCACCCCATTTCCAAAAAGTCGCTGTCAGATAGTGCATGCACCCTGCAAGGGCAACTGCTGGCGTCCAAGATGGTGCATTTCGGGTCCAAAGAGATGGTATGGGAGTTGCCAGTCCGGGCCGCTGTGTGAGTGCATGGAACTCGACCGTGGTCGCCTAGGCTCAGTAACCGACTCCGTCCGTCCTTTGCTGGCCACGCGTTTCCCGACAGCGGAACAAAGATGAAGACGGTTTATGCCAAAATTCTGGAGGCCAAATGCGCTCCGACCGGAAAGGATCCTTCGGCGCCGTTTCGAGCGGCGACCTCAAAATTTCGGCACTTATGGTGCCGTTGAAAAAAGAGTGGGAATCGTTTGGTGATCCCCCGCCAAGATATGACATGGAATTTACCCCCAAGTCGGGTGACAAACTTTTCGCCTCGTCCATTAGAGAGGTATCGTGTGGAGCGGAGAGTGTACCACTTCGTGGTCTTCCTCGCTGCAGCGGCCGGATATCTCCAAAGACACTCTTAAACGGGTGGGCTATTTCGGACTCGAGTCTAAGTGGGGGATGCATTACATCCGGGACGCGGAAGATAGCATCGTTGTAATTATCTAGGGTGGCCCCATGGCCCACACTCCTCCTGTTCAGGTTAATGTGACGGTCAGCAAAAGCTCGCGGTATTCTTTTATATCTTTTTTAGATATCGAAAGACCTTATGAAACCCTCGAGAGTCAAGAGGCCCTTCGGTATCTGGGAAAGGCATTTCTAGCATTCGGTGATGGGTATAATACCGCAAAATGGGCGCTCATTGAACTGCTCTGAAGCGTAGACCAGGGCTTAGAAGTCACACGCTTACAGTCAAACAAGGCCTGGATCATACTCACGCACGGTCACTTTCTTAGAATAGAAGATGGGGGCTGGACTACACTTATCTAATGGTGACTTCTTCGCCGCTAGGGGACGTGTCTTACGACTGTATGGCTCTGTTGCGAATACCCGTTGTAAAAACCTAGGCCTGTTATTAAGGAAGGATGGAAAAAAGATGGAGGTCAAGCACCGGAAAAAGTTTTAGAGCTAGGCAGTTAGCTAGAGCCCTCGTAGCCGACCGCAAGGGCCACCACTTCACTAAGTACTAAGCCGTTAATTCAGTTGCGGCCGCTACGGGGATTTATAGGGCTCGTTAGTGTTACGGCCCGCGCGCACAGTAAAAATGGCAGGCAAGTGGGATACGTTCTATTCGTGTTTCTAGGACCGCTCTACAGTATAGTTTAGATTAGATACGTTGCTTAGTCAGATATGAGAGTCTGGAGAGGGAAAGGAGTAAGAGATTAGACGGTTTGCGGCTTGACGACCAACACGTGCAGGACTGGGGTAAAAAACGTGGCCAAGGGCATCGGGGTCAATCAGTGGACAACGGGATTTAGGGGCATTTGAGAAACATATTGTCAACAGCGGGGAAGTGCATTGTTCTGCGCATGGATTTTCTGTCATTAGCCGTTTCCGCATTGTATCGATTATCTGTCGAGATTTCGCGTGCATTATCCGGGTGACGAGACGTCATTTCGGCTGGCCGTGTTCTGTGTTCGCCGTCAATATCGGGTTCGTGATAGAGGTTCGTAGAATGTGATGGCCGAAAGAAGGAAGGCTGCTCGTGGCCTTCGCCTTGGCCCCCATGCCCTCAATGTTGCGCAAATAGCGGTAACGAGGAAAACTCGAGGAACGTTAGATGTGAGATGTGGGATTGGGCAATCGCGCATGCGTTGCGGATTGCCAGGCCTGGTTTCCACTCGGGTCGGCGGTTCTCGACGACTTTGGAAGTGTTCGTTTCGCAGTGAGTGAGCTTCGGAATGCGGGTGCGCACGAGTCACTTTGCAGTCTTTGCAGTGGAAAGGCGATAACGAGGCCAATCCCATTCCCGGGAAACAAGCCCAACTTTTGAGTGGCCCAAGCGTCCATGCTCGTCAAGGCCCAACCTTGACGGGAGTTGACAGCGAATCAGCGCGCTGCTGGCCGTGTCACTGTGGGGCGGGGGAACTGCTAGGCAGTCAACATGTTTGGACCAGCCGCAGCAGGTCCCCCCAGCGGGCGACCTCGACGTGACCCAGCCCGCCGACTTCATTTCAATTTTGACCACGACACTTCTCGCAGCAACCCGCCATCCGCCATCCGCATCCGCATAACAACCCCCCGCTCTCTCTTCGCTCGCGCTGGCGATTACTCATGATACTGGCGACGTATCCTTCTCGTCGACCGGCCGGCTCGACACGCGTTTAATTGTAACATTATTGGCATTCAGGAAATTTCTGTACGTGGCCCCTCTCTATTGTGCTTGCGTCGTGCATTCCAGTCGAGCGTCTCCCCTCGGCCCCTCGAAGCCCAATCCCCATTGCCCAATTCCCACAGCTGCCCCTCTCTGCCGTCTCAACAAGGAGTGAAAAAGTTTGCGCTGCGCTCGCCGCATCTTCATTGAACGTTGCGACGGGCTCCCTCTGGCTCCCTTGGGCTCCTCTGGCTGGCAGATCGCCCAGGTCCCCCCGCCTAGGAGCTACCAGTCACCTGGACTTGGTGCTGAATCACTCGCCCGCGCGCCAAAGCCCGCACCCCACTGCTCGCCCTCGCCTTGGCTCGTGGCCTTGAACCTTACATCATCTCCGCTTTATCAACGCCTGCTTTTGCTTTTCTTTTGCTCCCAACCGTCGGCTAACCGACCTTCATTCTCAGATAACTAGACATTGAGATACCCATTCCGCGCCGCGTGTCCGCACCGGCATTTGCATCTTTCTCGGTTCAATCAACATAGACCGCCATCGGAGTTGCACCCGCGCATCATTTGCTTTTCAATACCCCGTCACCGCGAGAACATACCCCCGCCGCTCTCTCTTCCCCCGCCGAGGCGACGTATGAACTCTGTCTATCCTTTTACTGTTACCCGAATACACACCCTCTCCGCTTGGTGTCTTTACCCCCTTGACTGGTGCCGTGACATAAGTTAGCACAGTCGCCCAAGATGTTCTGGAGATTTGGCGGCTACGCCAACATCTCTACCATCGACAATATACTTGAAAAGGATAATTTCGAGCTCGAAGATCTCCTCGACGAGAGCGACCTCATCCAAGAGCTCAAACAACACAATGCCAAGCTGGTGGAATACCTGCGCGACCAGAGGGTGCTCGAGAGACTCTTGGAGTACGTGGTCGCGCCGAGGCTCGCACCAGTCGCGACACGCGATGAGGACGAGGATGACGAGGAAGGAAAAGGAAAGGGTCGCTCGCTCCCCTTCTCCAGACCTCACACCTTGTTGAGGGCCAACGAGGTCGGAAACGAAGAGGAGGTCGAGAAGAAGCGCAATCGTTATGCATTTGTCGCTGCCGAGGTTCTGTCTTCCGACAACTGGTCCATCTGCGAAGCTCTCATGGAGAGCCGGCCCCTCCTGCGCAACTTCTGGCAGTTTCTCAAGCGCCCGACCCCACTCGATCCTCTGCAGGCGAGTTACTTCACCAAAGTCAACGAGTCCCTTTTCGACAAGAAGACAGAGGATATGCTAGATCTCTTGAAGTCCTTGGATGGTGCTATTCCTGATATTTTGAAGCATGTGGACTGCCCCATGATTATGGACCTGTTGCTCCGCATCATCAGCCTAGAGCGGACAGAAAGTGGGCAAGGGATTGTCGAGGTATGTTTCGTTTTAGTTGCTGATGGCATGTGGCACTGACCCGATCGCGTAGTGGCTTTACACCCAAGATGTTATCCCCACCCTCCTTTCATTCCTCGGCCCAGAGCACAGCTGGGCGACGCAG